GAAAAAAGTACAAAACACTGTCATAAAAAAATTATCAAACATCAATGTGATCTCTTATCACCTTCAAACAGTGACTTTACTACTTCTGCATATCAGAAATTAATTTAGAAATTAAAATTAAAATACTTGGAATTGAGACGAAAAGTTTGGGTAGTTTTTTTTTAAATTTTGGTAAAACTTTGAAATTTGGATTTATATGGTATTTGTTAGGTATAGAGCCATGCTTTTATATAGAAATAATGAACATTAAACAATCCAAAGATAAATAGTCAAAATTGTTCAAAATGTTGAGGTGCTATCGTTTTGTCGCGGGCTGTATATACTTCCCATTGACTTCTATTCGCATAAAGCGACTCCTATTGCACTTACCGGTCGCACTGGTTTGCGAATCGTAGTGCGCGTTCCGATGCAAGCCCAATTGGTGCACATTAGCTCTACGTTTTCTTCTGGAGTGACAAAGTGTGCATAGGAGACAGATTAGGAACGAGACGACGATTAGTGTTATTATAATTAGAACGCCGTGATCCTCCTCGGGCGCTTGTGTGGTACCTTCATGCGTTAATATTTCAAAACGCGCAATTAAATTGTTTCCAAGCCAAGTTTTTTTGGGAATTTGTTGCATACGATTTTCGTTTCCAGAAAAAAAGCAGATAATATAATTTATAATTAATTGCAATTTCTTTGAGAAAGTGTGATCATATCTAAATATATGTGAATATATAAATACATAGCTTATTTAGGGACTCTTATTTAGTTTCTGATTTGGAAATGATTGGAAATAAAAATATATACGAGTGCAATTTGTGTACATGTCTTTGATTTACTATATTTCGTTAGTTCTATTTTTTTTATGATACCTCTTAGAAAGGCACAGTGTCTTTTTTTATTATATTGCAACCAAATATATGATTGAGTGTAAATAGTATGGGAATGATTGGCGTATGCATCTCATATGTATGGATGGAGACGTGGCTATAGAAACTGAAGCATATACCTTTTGAGTGGAGTGGGTTAGTATCTGAAACAGCAAACAAATAATAAATTAAGCGATCTCATGTCGAGTGATTTGGTGCATACGGTGCAATTATTTGTGGCTCGAACATATGTACATCCTTTTTAGTTTACTTTAAATTAACAGCTTGTAGAATTCGCCTTATTTTATTGTAAATCCTTGATTTATGCAAGCAAAGAGCATGCATACAAATGTCAAAATGATAAAAATTAATGGGATGCCATAAGTAAAGAAACAAACAAAAAAAAAAACATGAAAAGTGAAGATAATTTTTTAAAAGTTCTCTCAGACCGAGCTTACACGTGAACATTTTTGTCGAGGCTATTTTTCGATTTCCTTTTTTTTCGAGTTGCTCGTTTCGTTTACTCACAGAAATAATATTGCCAGCTAATTAAATTTACACATGCAAATGAGAGCAGAAAACGTGTTGCCCTCGCATGGACGACAAGGTATGACTCTCCCTACCTCGTCGCTTCCCCTAAAAGCTTTGAGTCGGCGCAGAAAAAACTGTCGCGTATAACAAGTGCCGAACCAGTCCTTGCAGTAGATCTCCACACGATCGGGGAAGAACTCAGGAAAAGAGTAACAATAATAAGAGTACAGAACTGGGAAACCACCATTGGACTTCGCCAAGCCAAACGATTAATAGATGGGCATAACTCAAAGAGATGCAGGCTTTTTTACCCTGCCCAAAGAGCAACTGAGGATCGTCACGGGAATGTTCACGGAACACTGAAGACTAAAACGACATTTGGACAAGCTAAGAATCTGGTCAAATGACATCTGTCAATCACCTGCAAGACTGCCAAGCAATTGTTGCCCGCGGCCGTGCTAAACGCACTGGTCGACTAATGAGCCTAAATAAGCTAAAAAAAAAATAAAAACTATTCCAAATGTTAGTCAGATTTATAAACTAAAGATTTCGTTTTATTATCTATTTAATATATCTTCTGTATAAGTTATCTAAACTCGACATTTCGAACAGGTGGCAACCATCTTCAAAATATTTTCAAACTAAAACTTTCTTCATTCTCTTTCGTCTGATATCCAAATTGTAATGCATATTTCGTTTCCCTAATTGTCTCAATTTACTTTATTTTGATTTTTTAAATAGGTGACAACCCCCCTAAATACATTTCAGAAATAAAACCTTTTTAAACCCACTTCGATTGACACCCATCTTTTAATAATTCAAATGTTCAAACTAAAACTCTTCAAATTAAGCTTCAACCTAAAAGCTTCCTAAATATCCTTCATCTGACATTGTGATACATGTGGCAACCCTCTTACATGTAGTAAACAATACAACTTTTTCAAAACCATTTCCATTGATAACCATATTGTACTAATTGATTTAACTTTTCAAATAATTGGATTGGATTTTTTTAACAGATGGAAACTCTTTTCGAAATAGTTAAACCTTATTGCCATCTACAGCCCTAACCCTTTAATTTTAATACTCAATTTTGAAAATCGAACGAACGGTGCAGATCTGATGACCTAGACAAAAAATCCCTTCGGGTATTATATACCTACCCTGCAGTACGGGGGAGCTACCTGATAAACACCGTTAATTACCGACCGACTACTTAAGTTTATTTCATCGATTACTTTTACAAGGCAATGCCCTAGGCGGTAGTCACCACTGGCTCTCTCTGCACTACCGGGAGTTACAAGAGTAGTCATTTACGTGATTTATGAGCGCCCTCTGTCGTAGTTTTTCGCTATTCTGCTTACGACTGGTTCGATTCTGCACTACCATGTAAACTACCACGGGTTAATAGAGCAGCTACTTACCTAGGAGTCGGTGCAGTAGCGGTTCAAAAGTAGCGATTGACTCCAGCAGTACTGGAGGGTATTTATGTATGTACTCATATAGAAGATTAGTATTGTGTCATTACAGGATACTGTCTAATGGGCAAGCATTCGCCTGCGTTGAATGGCTTCTGTAGAAGCTATCAAAGTGAAGAGGAGGAGGAAATGATTCTGCACCTGTTATGACAGTGTCCTGCTCAATCCAGACGAAGGCTCTCCACTTTTGGTAGGTAATTCTTCGACAACTTGGAGTACCTCAGATGCGTGAAAATCTTCTAAATTCCTGCAAAGTTCAAAATGGCTTTAGGAGCGACTGGGAATTGCTGACCCTACATGCGGTATTACAATGAGCCCTGAGCCTAAGTGGCAATTACAGATGACCGCAACTACCTAATCTAACTTTAGTCTTAAAACTGCCATGCCCATTTCAGGGATTTTGCGCCTTAAGCAAACATTTTACCGAACAAACATTTTAGCAGAATCCGCAAAGCCACGCTTTTTGATACTTTGCTAGCTACATGTAGGTGCATATGTATGTAAATAAAAAATAAAATATTATTTAGGTAATTTTATTGAGTGAAGTAAAAGGCTCGGGTCATTAAGGGGATCAAAGAGATCATTTAAAAGACTTCAATAGATTGGAGGAATGCTTGTTAAGGCACATCGCTATTTAAGGATTAACTAAAAATAAAACGTTTTTCTTTGTTTTTTAAGGCTTAAGGCACTTATTAGCCGCACCTTTTATGTGATAACAAAAAAAAAAAACGAAAATGACTATCATAAATATACTTATAGTTAGACAAAGAAAATTAGTAGTTTTTAGAGCGTAACTTATGGGCGGATGTTTTCGGTAACTACTTTGGATATTTATGATTAAGTCGATGATAATGCGAAATGGTCTTGAAATGAAAATCAGCAGTAGTTATTTGTAAAACGCATTCAATAAGTTTCCTTGGTGACTCCAAAATACTAACTAATAACTACAACAGCGGGGAGTTCCTCAAAGCTTTTTACGATGCGTACAAAAATGATGAGTGAAGGGTGTCTTATGATATCTAATGGAATATCTGTGTAAAAGGGAATAACGTTCGCAGTGTTCATTGGTTATATAGAAATCGATAGATAAGTATGTTATAAGATAATGAATTAAAAAAAAAAATTGCTTTGTTAAGTTGTTAGTATCTGAAAAGACTCACGTGTTTCTGAATCATAGATGTCATGTTTGTATGCGAAAAATGTTTTTCATTGACTTTTATAAATTCAACAAACTACACTAAACTTAATGCGACATTGATTTTCATTTTTTCAGCGTAGTGTGACTTGGTAAGCATTTTTTTATTGTGTCTTCGCTTGAGTTGATTTAGCAATTTTTAGAAATTCGTTTTCTTAATTTATCTTTTATTAACAAAAAAAAAAAAACATTTTATATGCACTCATTTTCGGTCGTAGCATATAAAACTACTTAGAATTGTAAATATCGAATCGCACCAATTGCTAAACCAATAAGTTGTATTAATGATGGCATCAGAGGTGTATTTCCGTCGCCTGGGCGTATTAGTATGAGGAAGGCGTTAAAGAGAGGAAGAAAAGTTAATAAAGAGAAGAAGAAGAAGCAAGTAGAACACAACAAACAATTGCGAATATTTGTTTTGTTTTGTTTTGTTTAGTTCAAAAATGAAAGAGAAAGTCAACAAGGTGAGAAGGAAAGGGAATCACATGTACAAATACATAGGCAAGTAGAAGAAGAACAACATGAATCGGAACAAGAAGAAAGTAGGAAAAAGAAGAAAATTAGATGCTTAAATGAGTTGATTACGTAACAAAT